ATCCAACTAGAATTAAGAAGGAATTTTCTGACAGTGGGAACAATTAATTAATGGAATGGCTTGCCTCCAGAAGTTGTCAGTGCTCCATCTCTGGTGGTTTTAAGAAGACATCGGACAGTCTTTTGTCCAGAATGGTACAGGATTACTGCTTAAGCAGGAGGATAGACTACAAGGCCTGAAAGGTCCCTTCCAGCTCTTTTTATTCTGTAGTCTGTAATTTTTTTTATCTTGTATGGCTGGATTTCCACAGTGGCAAGTTGTCGATTAAAAAAGTTATATCGGGCATATGTTTAGTTTCGAGCAGGGCTATCAACGACTTCCCTTTCAGTAAAATGACAGCACCATTGATGCTTTATGGAAATATCAATGATGCAGTTGACAACAGCCACAAAATAATAGCTGTAATATATTAGAATAAATGCACAACATCTTTGTTTTTTATTCATCAGTGAAATACCTATCATTGTGACCTATGTATTAAATGCCGACAGATACATGTGTTTCTGAAAAGTTACCACCCTTTTGGTCCCCAAAATAAGCAGTAGAGCTTATTTTTGGGGGGGTATCTTATTTCCCCCCCCCCCCATGTACGGGAGGCCCACTTCTTCTGCTTGCTCATGACGGAGCAGGTGGCTGCGCCAGTGCCTCCTATCCTGCCAGTGCCACCGCTGTGAGGCAAGGAGGTTGGAACTGCCCCATGCACCCCGCCTCGGCTTACCTCAGGGCTCCCGGAGCCAGGCCACCATCAGTAGTGGGATTCATTTTTTTTTACTACTGGTTCTGTGGGCGTGGCTTAGTGGGCATGGCAGGAGAAGGATACTGTGAAATCTCCAGTCAGAGGTGGGATTTGCCAGCTCTCCAGACTATTCAAAATTTCTGCTACCAGTTCTCCAGAACTGGTCAGAACCTGCTAAATACCAACTCTGTCACCTCTGCCCTGACACTTGCCTCACCTCATGGTGGAAGCTCTGGCAGCCGCGTCCAGCAGGATCCCGTGTTGCTGCCGGCCCATTTCTTCTCCTTGCTCGCAGCCGCAAAAGAACAGGAAGCTGAATGATGTGCCAGTTCTGTGGCCATTAGGTGAGGTGACTGTGTGTGTGTGTGTAGCTGTTCCACGAGCCCTGCACTGGCTTACCGCAGGGCCTTTACAGACAGGCCATCCACAGCCTGACACCTTCTTTGCCTTGAGGCTGCAGCACCAGCACCAGCACACCACTTAGCCCACTGCTCTGTTGCAGCCATGAGCAAGCAGAAGAAGTGGGCCAGCGGTCACATGGGTTCTTGCTGCACATGGATGCTGCTGCTGCTGCTGCTGCTGCTGTAAGGCATTTTTCGGAACATGGATGGCTTGGCTGCAGGGGCCGTGAGATAAACTGGAATGAGATGTGTGGGCCAGCTCCACCACCACCTCATCTCGCCTCGCGGTTGCAGTGCTGCAAGCAACCAGATGTAATGAGCAGGTAGCCAACTGTGCAGGTTCTTAAGTAGGGCTTATATTGAGGGTAGGGCTTGTAATAAGTGCATTTAAAACATGCTAGGGCTTATTTTTTTGGATAGGTCTTATTTTCGGGGAAACAAGGCACATGGGCTGATATTTCAGGTATCTGAGTGCAGATAACTGAAATATCTGCTATTTTAGGTTCATTATAATACTTGGATAGAAGCCAACCATTCAATTTATAAGGAAATTAATAGAAAAATGAAGATACTAGTTACAGTATATATATCTGAATTGGAACTGGAATTTGTAATTTAAAAGTGAAATGGATTCATCACAAAATATTATTTTGTCTTTACTGCTAACCTCAGGGAATGTTTAAAAAGGGGCGAGATATTTACTTTTATATAACTGGGGGGAAAAAACCCCTCCGTGCCCGAATTAAGGAATGAATTCAGGATAAACTGTTACCTATACTGGAAAAATCTCTTGTGTTTTAAAAATGAGAAGATAACAATACAGATCGTCCTTGTTTAGTGACCACAATTGGGCCAGGCAACTTGTTTGTTAAGGGAAGAAGTTGCTAAGTGAAGCTGTGGCTGCTCTTATGCTCTTGCTTTCCTTCACTGTACAGAGCTGCAGAAATTATAAATGCAAGGACAATTCGCACAGTTACTATTTTATCACCATCATATTTGTGAATGGTGACTTTAGGATGCAATCACTAAATGAGGACTATTTGCATGCTCTAGACTTCATGATAAGTTTAAGGACAGTATTAACTTTATATGATTATCTATATAATTATTATATGGATCTCTTTTTCATTTAAATTGTTTTTTTCTTTGTCATATTTTATTTTAATTATATAATAGACTATATTTCTTCATTGTACAATTGCTCTTTCTTATGTTGGTAGTGCAGGTGCTTTTTAATATTTTATTATATTTTTTTAAAAAAAACTATCAGGTTATTTCTTCCAATAGAGAAATCTTGAGATAATGAGAGACTAAAAATATCAAAGTTTTGTAAAAAGAATCATTGCCACTGTTCCAAGAGCATATTGTTTGGCCTGTTCCCCTTTAGGATAAAAAATCCAGGGGGGGGGGAGAATCCCCTCTGTATTCTTAGTACTTTCATGGTATTTTCCCAATATCAATTTTACAGGTGTTACTTTGAGCCTCTGATTTTTCTCCATTTGAGCCTCTGATTTCTCTCCATTTTCTATTTCTAAATTGCTCTTAATTTTGCATTTGAGGGAAATTCATATGTTCATATGTTGTTAATGTCAATTGCCCAATTTTCCAAACTTCTTTCCTCAAAGTTTCTAAAAGCCATGTTTCTTGAAAGGGGAAGTAAGGACAACTTGTCACTAGGGCACGTACTGTTGTGCTTAGCCATCAGCAGGTACGGATGGCTGAGGAAAGTGAGGACTCAGATGAGGGGCCGGGACCATTAGGGAGTGGACTGCTGCCTTCAGAGATTGTGGGGGCTGGCAGCAGTGATGAGGAGGTTCCCGAGGAGCCTGTGCCAAGTGCATGTGTGTGCAGGGCTGCTTTTAGGAAAGAACAGCTGCAGCAGCACGGGCGACTCAGGAGTAAGGCTGCAAGGTAATGGCCCCTCCTTCAAGAAGATAAAAGCCAGCTGTGTTCTTTGTAGGAAGCAAAAACGTTTTGAAACTCCAGCCTTGTGGACATTGCAGTATCTTAAGTTGGTATTTGAAGACTCTTGTGTTGTGAAATATTCCTTATCTGTGATTCTTGGCATTCTCGCACATTTTTTGCGAGGTTTGTGCTTGTCAAAGTTAATTAGTTTGCAGCAGCCTTTTAACCGGGGATTTGTAAGACTCATTAAAGGTTTCTGTTCCCTTTGGTTATTGTTTGTTTTATTGGAAAAGGGTTTGGGTCAGAACACATACATCTAGATATATGTGTGAATACACTATGGCATTGCAAGTCTTATTATGGTCTGATGATATCAGTTCACAAATGAAGTGAGGTGGAAGAGGTGGACTGATGAGGAAATAATATCTTTTATTCAAGGTGAACACACCCTTACACCAAAAGAAGTTTGGAATCTGAAAGTAGTGATAAAAGAGAATATTTGTAGCTCAGGGTTGAACTTGGTTCCCCCCTAAGCTTGTTTGCTTGCAGACATTTCATTACCAAATTAGGTAACATTATCAGTGCTGGAAGGGAGTGGGATTTGCTCTCATTTTATCTATTGGTGGCTTGGCCTGTCAGTGTTAGTGAGTGATCTTGGTGTTTCCTTGATTAGGTTTAGTATTAGCTTGTTTGGTAGTTTCTTAATTGGAGTATTGTTTTTTTCTTGATTGTTGGTCTAATATTAATCTTGATGTCAACCTCTGTTCATCTGGGTGTTGATTACTGATGATGAGATGTTTGGGCCTTTTTGTTTTCTTTTTGGCCTTTTGATTTTATTTTAAATGCCATGTAGATTTTGTTTCTCTCTACATTTCTGTTGATGGCCAATTTGTCTCAGTGCCAGGCTTCCAGGAATTCTCTAGCAATTTTGGACTCGGCTTAGTCAAGGGTGTTCACAGTTTCCCAGTTGAAACTATGGTTAATTCAACTTCCACAATGGAAGAATGGATTGAAAAGATGATGGAACTGGTAAAGATGGCAAAGTTAACGGCATTAATTGGGGAAAAGAATGTAAGTAGTTTTGTTTCCACTTGGAAACTGCTTTTGGACTTTCTGCTTGAAAGAGAAAAAAAGAAACTTGATTTTGGGTTTTGACAATTAAGTAAGTCATAGTTATAGGACTAATACTTATAGGCTAATACTTACTATTTTAGATAAGTAACAAGTTGATATAATAATTGTATTACATATCTTACTGCATTGAAGGAAGTTGAAACTGCTTTTTGTTTCCTTTTTTCTTTCCTCACTTTATCCACTTCTTTCCTTTCCCCTCTTTCCTCCCCCTTTTCCCCATTATCTTTATTTCTAGTTGAATTTTATATTAAGAGGGAAAAAAACTTTTGTTAAAAAAACACTTCACAAATAAAAAGCTAACTTTTTTCTTGATTTGGCTAGGCTTAGTGCATTTTTGAAGAGTAAATACAAGGAAATAATCTCCATACGTGATCATTGAAAATATAATTAAATCAGAAATTTTAAGGAAGAGAACTATTTAAAACATAGTTCAGGGTTTAGAACAAAAGAAAACGGTGACTCACCCTAACCATGTGAGAGTTTAACTGCTTTCAATTCATATATCAACTCACCTAGTTGATTTGTGACTTTCATATTTTTCTCAGTTTGGTTCCCCCCACCTTCCAATCTCTCCTTTTCATTCCATTCCATTATACCCGTGAAATACATTCAGCTATAAAAAAAGCCAAACACCTTTGAACCTAATGTAGTTTGCTGACTCAATCCTTGTGATTAATTTATGGTTCATTGTATTGTCTGGATCTTGGAATCTGGGCTGAGTATTTTTGTTTTGTTTTTGCACCAAGGACCCTTTATTTTTGTTTAAACCGTGTGTGTGTGTGTGCGTATGTGTGTATAATATTGGGGGG